ATTTACCAGAATTTCTGTAGGATTACAGGAATTCTGGTAAATCCTAAAGGAATTCTGGTAAATCCTAAAGGAATTATCTGATTCGTCCATATTCGACCAGAAATTTTTTTCAGTGTACGGATGAATTTTATAAAACGCGTGCCCGAAATTGCGTATAATTTCGACTGTGTAATTCCCAATTCCAAGCCCTACACACAATTAAATTTCGCGAGAAGATTAAATCAATATATAAATGTTATAAATAAATTAGGTAAATTTATGCGCAAATGATTTTTATTTAAAATTAAATGTAAAAACTATTGCGTTATTTCTCATTGCTCTGGGGCACATGTCTCGCGGTTAAATTACACCGAGAATTTTCAATGAAAAGGATTGTTTTCGCGCGGCTGTTATAAGAGCCGTGTAATCTAGTGCGATATTCTCGTGATTTGATTATTTCAATGAAGACTTCTTTCGATAAAGTATGTTAATCGAGATAAAATTCTTCGTGTCACCTGTTGGTTAAACGTTTTATCGGGAATTCTATCATTATCGATCTACTTTCGAGCTATCGGCGATTAACTTGTATATCTTAAAGTAAGTACGGGTCTGATAACGATAAAGTCTACATAAAATATTTTCGCTAACGTACGTGTTCTAGATTGTATTATTGAGCGCCAATTGTATCACAGTATACATGTTCTTAAAATTGAAAGATGTTTGTAAAGACGAAGCTTTATTAACTACATTCATATCGTAAACAAGGATACTTAAGTATGAAATAATTTTCTCTCAGCAACCATTCTTCTGAATTTGCTGATAATCCCGCGATCTTTTCCGTAACGAACGGATCTTGTCAGATATTTCACTCCTTCGCGGTGTATTTATAGAGCGTTGCAAAAAGCGCCGCTTTCAATCGCGGCGAATATCAATCACGCGCGTGAGAAAAAGAGAATATTAATGACTGTTATTTTGGCCGGCAATTTCGTGCGCAATTGCACGAGTCAACTCGCAAAACAGACACGCCCGTGTTGCGCTCGGTCGCCTTTCAATTCGCGTCGGATTCAAAAAGCAACCTCAGCGCC